ACACCACAAACCAAACAAAACAAAACACAAAGTTGGTCTGACTCTAGGCCTGAGGAACATACTACATGCATATCTTTGGCTCCATTGCAAACAATAAAGAACAGGGTTGATTGAAAGAGTTGCAGAGAGGAAAATGCAGCCTATGCTGGGATGGAGGGATGGGGAGAAACTACTGAGGATAAAGGAAACAGATGAGTACCTGTACTGTACTTGCCACTAGGGTGTCCACATAGCCATTAGAAAGATTCTTCAATTTTCTATAGAGGATGAGGGAGCTCTAGGAGTGACAAACTAAAATGATGTTCTGATCCTCCCACTGAGTAAGAGACTTAGATGGCATGCCAATGTACTTGACTTTTCAAAAGAGAGAATCCCTCCTCTCTATTCCCCTTCTCCTGCCTTCCCACCTTCTTCCCTGACACAGATGCCAGATTGTGAAGTGCTGAGGGGAAGGAATGCAGCTCCGACTACTCAGATGAGTAGGAAAGTAGTTCCCAATTGGCAGTCTCTTCAAGAACAGAGAGGCTGGAGCTGTACTCCAGGCAATCTGGACTGAGCTCAGGTGAGCTGTGGCCCACTAGAAACCTGAGCCTGACGGATTTTTTTTTTTTTTTTTTTTTTTATTTTTTTTTTGTACGGGGGATCGAACTCGGGACCTTGTACTTGCAGGGCAGGCGGCACCACTGAGCTAAATCCCCGGCCCCTGACCAATTTTTGACTACACATCCAAGGATTCTGTGGCTGAGCACTGCAGTGACTTGGAGGTAAGATAAATCTGTGTTCTTTCTTATATTTCAAGCTTTTGGTTAAATCCCTTTTGGGTGGGCTCCTGCCCTGATTGATCTAATAACCCAGATCTCAGCCTGGTGCAGACAGTTGGCTTTTTGTTTCTTTTTTTTTTTTTTGAGGCAAAGTCTCTCTGTGTAGCCCAGGCTGCCCTCAAACTTGTGATTCTTTGCCTCAGCCTCCCATGTGCTGTAATTACAGGTGTGTGCAACCATACCCAGATTTTTGGCTGTTTTTTTGAGCAGCAACAACTGTTATGGTTTGAATGTCCCCACCAAAACTCCTGTTGAATTTAATCCCCATTATAAAGTATTAAGAAGGTGGAAATTTAATCAGAAGGTAGTGTTTGGAGGTGGAATGTTTTAGGAAGTAATTAAAGTTAAATGAGGCCATAAAGGTGGGACCCTGATCCAATGGAACTGTGGCCTTCTAAGAAGAGGAAGAAAGAAATGAACTGTAACTGTATAAGCTAGGATGTTCTGTATTGCCATGTGATCCCCTATACCACTTGGGATATTTCAGAAAGTCCTTATCAGCAAGAAGGCCCTCATCACATGCAGCTGCCCAACCTTGAACTTCCCAGACTATAAAACTGTGAACCAAATAAACTTTTCTTTAAAAAAATAAATTAGCCTTTAGCATTCAGTTCTAGCAATGGAAAACAGATGGAGATAGCAAGATTTAGCAGTGGCAATAGGGCTGAAAAGAATGTATAGGGAGGGGAAGGAGAGTCTTGCTGATGTCAGGGCTGGCCTGGCACAGACTGTTCAGAACTGTAGAGCGGTGAGCCATCACAACTCCTCCTTCTCTCTATTCTTACCTTCCTGTTGCCAAATTTGAAGCTATCTCTTACAGAATAGGAGTTGAAGGTGTCACACATAAAGTTTGTATTTTTGGAGAAAAAAAATCACCTAATGACCTGGTCAAGTTTTTCACAGAGGATCACAGTGGCCACCAATTCTTAGATCAGGTGCTTTACAGCTGTAGAAACTCAGGGTGGTGATTTCTAGCTTTTAGGGGACACTTTGAGAACCAATAAAATGCCAAACATGTATACATGAAACTTCACATATTATTTTGGGGAGTTCAGACCCAGGGGGCCTTCCATGGACCCTTAAAGACTTTATGGCTCCCAAGTTTGGAAACTCTGATCTACAGTGTTTTTCGTAGACTGGAATAGCAATTGGGTAGCACTTTTCGGTCTTATATGTTCTTTCTTGGATCACTGTTGGTGTTCAGACTTCTGGGGATCCTCAGAATATATAATTAGTAAACTAATACTACATCCTCCCATCTTTATCTAATATTACCCTGTCTAATCTAAATGATGCACTATCCTTCTCAAGTGATTGTCTAGCCTCTGCCTCTGTTTAAACACTTCTAACCACAGAGACCTCATCCTTCCTGAGGCACACTTGAGTTTGTTACTGTGCTTATTTAAGCATGGTTAGAACTTCACACTTCAGCTAATTCTGTTTTAAAATTCAATTGCTTTTTCTAGCCAATGATTTGTATTGTATACACATCCACTAAAGAAGGCATCTATGTCTTTGCCCATTCATTCATTTCCTCATTCATTCTTTCAACAACCAGTCATTTATTGAACAAATATGTCCCAAGTGCCTGTTCTGTTTCAGGAATGTCCTAAACACAGGGAAGGCATGCAAAGATGAATAAGAAATGGTCTTTTCATGTGTTTTCATCCAAAACCAGAGTTTCAGAGCTTATTATTCTATAATCCCCTTTTGGCTGGCATTATATTAGCTCTTTGGGGATATGGTGTCCATCAGTTGTGAACTGATCTAGAGGTACTAGCTCATCCATATTACATTTTCCTTTCCAGAAGTTATCTTTCCCTTCTTTTTGAAAATAACAAAGTTTCCATGGCCATTTTTTTGGGCCTTGCCTCATGTATTGTTGTGCCTCAAAGTACAACACAAGAGCTTCTCCTGCATCCTGGGACCCCCACAACATTTTCAGGTCTTTACCCCTTTATTTTCAGAGAGTCAGGATAAGGACTGACCTAGGATTTGGAGTCTTTCCCTTTATCATGATGGTGGCATTTTTAAAAAATCCTGCCTGAAATATGGTACTTATGGTTTACCAAGCCCATGTCAACTGCCTTGCTTGTGTAGCATTTGCCCTGCTCACAGAGAAGTATCAGCTTCCTGTCAGTTATAGCAGTTGTGGCTGTGCATCAAAAGTGCTAGGTAGCTGAACAGAGAAAACATAAGTAAAACTTTGGTTTTAAAATCAAGGTGTGAAGCTAGGTGCCATGGCACACATTTGTAATCCAAGCTACTCAGGAAGCAGAAACCAGAGGATTACTTGAACCCAGGAGATCAGGGCCAGGCTTGGCAGTACAGCCAGATCCTGTTTCAAAAAAATTCAAGATGTGATGTTCTTTAGCAATATGACAAAAATGTCATGTAGCTGGCTTTAGACATCTCCCAGAGAACTCTAGAGGTAGTGTCTTTTCACCACTGCCAAACATGAAAACCATCAGCCCTTTGCTTTTCCAAATCCTGTTGTTTCTTTACAGCAGGCATTATCCCTGTCAGGAAATTTACTCTTGTCACCCTAACCCACTGAGATATCCATCTTGGTGGTTCCCCTGATTAACATAGAGTCAATGATCATATGAGTGATACAAAGTTGTACTTTTTATCAGTCTTAGTTGCTATTTCAGGTATATATTTTCATATGTGTTGATTCTCTGTTGTTATACAACTTTCAGGGTTTTTTTTTTTCTGGCAATGGTAGGGATGGAATCAGGGGCTCATGCATGCAAGGCAAATGTTCTTTCACTTAACTATGCCTGCACTTTGTTTTTGGTGGTGTCAGGGGATTCTGGTTCTGCTTTTTAAATGACCTAGTACCTAAAGTATTTGTTTCAACCATGCAATTAGTTAAAAAAATAGTGGATGCCTAAATGATGAGATTGAAGAGTACTAGGAAGAACTGTTTCAGATCCAGGGACCTTCTCTTACTAGGCTGTCATAGTGTCTGTGTACTCATTAAGGCTTTTATGTTTCAATTCTGTCTTCCTAACAATATTTACTATGAAAATACAAGTAATACTATACTCATACCTCTGTAAATATTAGCAAAGAGACCAAATATTTCAAACCAAGGTACATCAGATACTGTTCCTGGAAAAGGGGTGCTCCAAGGTGGTTTATCATTATTCCTTCAACTAGAGGTACCCATTTTCCTTATTTCTGTGGACTAAAATTTATGCTAAAATTTACTTGTAAACAATTTGGTTGAAAAAGAAATATATATATATACATATATATATATATATATGTATATATATATGGCTTTTATATATATTGAATCCCTGGCCCGCAATATAATTTTCTTCAGGGCATTAGTCCACAAATTTTATTATACATGGAGAGCCCCTGGAGGGCTTGTTAACATTCAGATTGCTGGGCCCCATCCCCATAGTTTCTGATAATTCACATCTCTAACCAGTATACGACCAAGATATATGATCAAGAGATCACATACTCTGAGCACTGCTGCTTGAGGGGAACGTGTTGACAGCTTTCCAGAATTCCCTACAAGAAGCACTTGGCAGGGGATGTTAGGAAGATCTGTAAAGCAGGGAAAGTAGGAGAACATCTCCACAAAGAAAACTGATAGCTCAAAAATTAACTCCTTTCATTGACTGTTGTTTATTTTACATCATTTCACCTTTATATCTGAAGTAAGGAGCCAAGTTGGGTTTCTGACCTTAGTGTTTTGAACCCTGACTAAGTCCCCAAGGAGGGTTTCTCTATGTCTAGTCCTAAGCACAAATAAGAACTTCAGTAAGAATGGTTGGTCCAGGCCTCCTGGAACTTTTAATTCACTAAGTTTAAAGTCATAGGATATGAAACTTCAGATTCTTCTGTACCAGGACTTTGGATAGTGCCCTAGATAATGCTAATGCATGGAATGATGGAGTCATTTAGCATAGGCAGTGTGACACCAACTGTAATGAGTTGGAGAGAAAGAAACCGGACAGTGGTTTACAGTATAAAGAATTTTATTGCCAATAAAAGCCTTTAATAACTCATTTTATCCTGTTTCAGTAGGACTTTATTCTTTCTGATGAAAATTGAGTCATAGCATCTCTCATTAAAAATAAAATTATTTTGAAATAAATAAATATATAAAATAAATAGCATATACATTTCATAAATAGTTTTTCCTTATGCACAGTATCCATGCTTACATTTTAATATCATTTTATTATAACCTACCCCGTCTTTCACTTCCAATGGCAGGAAAACTGCATGTCAGGACGAATGAGAAATCTGCAGAGCCAATGTGGGGATGGCTTGCAGCAGGGCTGGAGCCCCAAGGATCTCCTTAATGAGACTTCCAAAGATCTGTAAGTAGCGTGTATGGCAGATTCCTTGGTCTTTCATTTGTACCCATTGTCAAAAGGTATTTGGGTAGATTGTTGGGCAGTATACCCCTAGCCTTGGCAGAGGTCCCTGTTCTCTGTTGTGCCACCTCCACGCACTAGAATATGAGTAAAAAAAAAGTATATACAAGATTCCCTTGGGCCCACCCCTCCTCCCACGTCCCTCCCCAAAATAACCCAACCTTGATATACACTTTGAACAAGGGACCAGCTGGGTCAAGTTGAACAGTAAGTGCTTCTGTGTTATCTAAACTGATAGGAAGGATTGAAAAGCTATGAGTATAGTGCTTGCAGAGACAAATGTGGCCCCAGAGTACATGGGTCAAAGAGATCACACTGGCGGTCTATTACCTATAGCGGAAGAGGTCTCTGGACATGGAGGGCAACTTAGAAGGATCTACTGGCCTGGGTAAAAAGTGAGTGAATTTCTGGTGTCGTTTAGTTCTGTATCCCTCCCGGGGTGAGCCGTCTTTATTCAGGGCCACATAATACTGTCTCTCTGAGTCCATGTGTTTGTACAAGGTGGAAGCATAGGTGTTGTACCAGTTCTCTTCAAACTGTTCCCGGAAAACACATTCGCGTGTGAGTTTTTTCTGTGAGGGGAAGAAAATAAAGCAGAACCCATTATGTGACTATTTCTCCCATCCCAGCTTGCTGGTGGAGAAATCCTAAAATAGCAATAGCACATTGACATTAGAACATCTCAGTCTTATCTCCCCATGTTACTGATTGGTATATTCTTCCAAATAATATAAAACGCTCCTGACTCTTATCTCTTTCATGAGCCACACAAAATGTTTTGGGTGTGAGATCTTTCCTAAAGGGAAGAGACTGGAGGAGATAACCTCAGGTAGCTCTTTGAGCCAAATAATTCCTGTTATGGCCTTCCAATACTCTGCTGGCATCCCATGAGTTTCCTCCTACTTAGTGCTAATAATCTTTAAAACCATCGAGATTACAGTAAAGCACATCCACTAACAGGCAGGGCCTTGGATCCATGGGACCTGAGCTATGATCTCTGTAAAGAAGAGTCTCAGGCCTGTCAGTTGGAAAGCACAGAAAAGATCTTGAAAAACTCCTCCAACCTGCTGCTTCAAGCTGGCAGCTCCTGGGTCTCTTGTCTCTGTCCCTTCTCACACTCCATCCAGCCACCATACTACTTGCAGGAGTTGCCAATACTGAGTGCTGTGGACATGCCTATCTCTTAGGTGTCAGGGAAAAATGTGTTCTGATTTAATGGGGTGTAGGCAGCCAGAAAGCATGCAATGTGACTCAAAAGTTTGAGCCAGGAGTTGGGATCCCTTGAAAGGGTTAAGGTCAAAAAAGTCACCATTCCCCAGTCCTGGGCTACCTTCCAGAATAGAGAAAATGCACTGCAGCCAGCCTACACCTAGCTAGGGGCTTAGGGCTGTCACCAGACCCTGGAACCCTCATTCTTCATTTCTTTGTTTCATTTGGCCTTGGGGATTCAATTAAAGCAATCTGGAAATCAGGGACTATGTTGTTAACTTCAGATTCCTCAATTTGAAGGCTAGCTCTTGCACTGCCTATTTTTGTGCTGGCTAGTCGGCTACTTCCCTGGGCACCCGTTAAAACTGAGATGTGTTCTTTGGGGCTGTTAATGCCCCAAACCCTGACTATCTGCTGACAAACCAGTACAACTATCTACAACTATCAACAGACTGTCTGGCCCACTAATGGGCAAGATGAAAACAAATATATTACAGAAAAGCTTATGGTTTGATGGGGGGCAGAATGAGTGAAGATGTTGTGGAGCAATGCTCTGGGCAGCCAAGATGTAACCAGAAGATGCTAATTCTTTACCATTGACAAAAGTGCTTTCAAGTTCTAGATAAAGTTTTTTTTTGGGGGGGGACCGGGGATTGAATTCGTGTCCTTGCGCTTGCAAGGCAGGCTACCGAACCGCTCAGCTAAATCCCTGGCCCCTAGATAAAGTTTTGTATCCTTTTGCCTAACATTGTCCAAGCACCGGTGGTAATAATCTCTGAGCGGAAGGGAACCTCTGAAACTTACCGATCCATATAGCTCTCCTCTCTCGTTCATTCCTAGGTATAGGCCAGAATCCACACCACGGATGCTGATCAGACCCACAGCCAGGCTGATAAACTCCAGAATTCCTAAAGAAAAAAGTAAATGCCATTCTGTTACTAGCAACAACTCAAGAGAAAGCAGATTAGGGGCTAGGTATTTGGCTCAGTGGTAGAGCAGGTGTCTAGCATGTACAAGGTCCTAGGATCAATCCCCAGTAGAGGAGGTGAGGCAGAGGCCTACGGTCTTGAGCATGTTTGGCAAGTGTTCTGATTTGGACATATTATGAGGTACACCCTCAGCCCTATTGGGCATATTATGAGGAAGAGACCATGAAAAGGCTTTGGCTATAAAAGTCTGTAATTATAAGGTGCTATTATTGCCAAATACCACCCACCCAGTTTAAGAAATGGGACAGCAGTTTTCTCGGTGCAACAAAGAGGTCAGCCTTCGGTACCATTCATTCCCAATGTCACTTCCTTCCTCCCAGAGTACGTGCTGTACTCTAGACTGAAATTGCTTTGCACCCTCAGCTCTCATATCCTTAAAGCCACATGAGGCTGTCAACAGCCTGTAGCTGACTCTAACAAAGGCCACATGGGTCAGTAAATTTGTTCCTCCTGCTTATGGCAGGAGGCAAAACTTGGCCCCTTGAGAGCTTTCTATGAAAAAGTGTGTTCAGCACAGTCCTGAGCTTGACAAGCTTGTTACTCTCCCCTTCTTTCCTAAGAATTTCAAGTTTATCCTTGGCAAAGAGTTGGCAGGTAGTATTGGACTCCACATTGATTTGAGATATTGCAAAGTTAAGGGAAAAGGAAAGGAATTCAGAATATCCTTCAGAAATATCCTTCCAGATGACAAGATCAGAGGATTTCTTTTTTATGGTACCAGGGATCAAATTCAGGACCTTGGGCTTGTGAGGTGGTAAAGATTTTTAATATTTTCATTTACACACAGGAAAAAAAGAAATACATCAACTCCAAAGAGTGTAAAAGGGCCCAGAAATACAATCTTGGTGATACTGAAGACTTCATAATTTTGTCATAAGATAGTACATCTATTACCTGGATATAGATGTAATAATCACCTAATAAACTAGTTGTAAGAATCAACAGATTCTTCTTTGATATTCCCATCTTTAACCATGTTTTTCAACATACAGCATAAAAACTTGATATGATTGTCTGAGACATCCAAAGGTATGAAGTGAACTCATATGTAGCCATTTCTCATTCAAAGAAATACAATTTTTTAAAGTACTACGGATTGAACCCAGGGACTTCACACTGAGCTTCACACTTAGTATTGCTAAGTGGCACAGGCTGGACTTGAACTTGTAATTCTTTTGTCTTATCCTCCCAAGTACCTAAGGTTATAGCCATGCCCAGCTTAAATAAAGCAAATTTTTTAAACAGGAAAAAGCTTTAATCAGAAAGAGAAAAATGATTAAGGGACTTACAGCTTGAGGAACTCACAAAGATCCTCAGGATGCTTCTTAACAGGAGAATGATAAAATCAAGAAAGAACTCCAGTGTGAGTAGATAGAGGGTACACACGATAATAACAAGGATCAGATAGGGCCAAAAGATGAAGAACATTTTTTTGAGACAGGGTCTCACTATGTAGATCAGGCTGTCCTTGAACTCACTATATGGCCCAGGTTGGCTTCAAACTCTCGGTGACTCTCCTGCCTCAGCCTCCTGGGTACTGGGATTATAGGCGTGTGCTACCATGTCAGGCTAAAATGTGAAATTCTTTTTCTTTCTTTCTTTTTTTTTTTTTTGTACCGGGGATCAGACTCAGGACCCTGCACTTGAGAGGCCTCAAGGCCGCAGAGCTAAATCCCTGGCCCTAAAAGGTGAAATTCTAAAGGGTAATAATATTCTGTGTAATCTAAACAGGAGATAGAATTTATTCCATAGGATAAAAAATTTTAAGTGGTTAATTTTAAAGTCAGGTTCAACACTCCAGTGGGAAATCTCCTGTGGAGCTCCAGCAACAAGCTTGTGAGCAGAATGTTTGGGCATGGCAGCTTTGGGGGCACATGTTTCTACTCCCACCCAGATCTGTTTGAAGTACATAAAGGTCCTCTGCTCCCAGTCTACAGAATATATAGAGGTTGGCCTTTGGTCTCTTGTGTTGAAATCCTCTGGATTTTATTCTCAGGCTGTTGTTACTAACTCTTAAAGTAAGGAGATCTGGGGAAAAGAGATTGACGTACAATAGTAGGAGGGAAGGGAAAATGGCTCATGCCAAGTAGGGGTTATTCAAACACTGATTTAATGGACCCAGATCTTCAGTTGTACTGAACAAGGTTATATCCTATTTAACATTTTAATAACTGACTCCTAAGAAGACTGCTTACTCTAGTTCAGAGACATAACAGCTGAGAGAAATGACATAAACAAGAGCCAAAGAGATTTCAAGAGGATGGAAAAATGGGCTGGCTCTAACAAGATAAGCTTAATGAAAATTAGTATAAAGTCCTGCACTTTTGTCCCTCAAACCAGTTTTCCAAGGTGTTTGTGTTTGAGGCATTTGTTGGGGGAAGGTGAGCCCCAAGCACAGTTGAATCAATCATACTCTTTAGTTCATAGGCTGTTACCATAACTGATCTGTGCGAAGGCTTTTCAATTATCTGTTTCTTTTTATACCCAGCTCTCATTCACCTCCCCTCTTCAGGCAACCATGTATATTTTCTTGAAAATGTGTACTGTTGGGCCAGGGATTTGGCTCAGGGGTTCTGCTGCCTGCCTTGCAAGCACAAGGACCCGAGTTCGATCCCCGGTACCAAAAAAAAAAAAAGAAAAAAAAAGTGTACTGCTATACTGTGTTTTGTGTTTTGGCACAATTTTGGGGAGGTGCTGGGGATTGAACCTAGGGTCTCTCAAGCGTGCTATAAACATTTTGGTTATATGCAAGTCTGTCCATCTCTGCAAAGGCAAGATGTGGCTCAGCAAAATATACACAACAGTGGCTTAAGGGATTATAAATATGGCCAATGTAAAACTGGTTATATAAAAATTAAAACCCACTTAAAAGCTAATATAAAAAATTCCAAGCGTGGCAGCACACTTGTAATCCCAGGTACTTGGGAGGCTGAGGCAATAGGATTGCAAGTTTGAGGTCAGCCTGGGAAAACTTAGTGAGGCCCTGTCTCAAAATAAAATATTACGGCCAGGGATTTAACTCAGTGGTTCTGGCACCTGCCTCTCAAGTGCAGGGACCCAAGTTCAATCCCCTGTGCAAAATAAATAAATAAATAAAATTTAAAAAAAATGTTAAAAAGGGGTGGGGATGTAGCTTAATAGTAAAGTATCCCTGGTTTCAATCCCCAGTACCACATAAAAGCGGGGTGGCTAGTGTGATCTAAGGCTGCACTGAGAGAGGTCTAGTGACTAGCATAAGGAGGAGGACTGCCCTAGCTAGACTACACTGAGTACTGTGTTTAGTTCTATTACGTTTAAAGAGGAATATAGAAAAGCAGAAGCATGTTCAGAGTGGCCAGTATGGCAAGAAAATTAGAAACCAGGCCATGAGTCAGATCTGGATGCTAAACTCTGAGTGACACCAATATACTGGAGCCTTTGGTTCTTTGCTTTGCTCAGGCCGATTATTTCTGAGTTTCCAGTCTTAGTTCCCTCATTCTCTAAGTATCTCATATCTCTGAGTAGCCTGAGCTTATTAGCAGAGGGCAGCTTGTGATCTCACTGCCCAAGACCTGGTGGGAGAACAAATCACGAAATCTAAGAGGTGTGGCCATTTGAGTCACCACAGTTTTTCTCCAACTCTCTGTTAACCTTGATGCCAAAGGATAGATCATACAGGAAGTGACTTGGGTTCTGTCCAGTAACAAGGGTCTCCAACAGCTGGAATCATCCCTGTCCAGCTGTCTTTGAGCATCATTTCCCTTTGCCAACTTTCCTATTAGCTGGATTCAGACTGTGGGAACCCAGTGGCACATGATGATGGAATAGATATTTCTAGGCCTTCTCCTGAACCCAAGCCAGCATGAAAGGGGAGAGAAAACAAGCCATTTTCATATTTTCCCAGCTACAGCTGGACAAGGGTGTTAACAGCAAAGTGTTGAGGCATAGTATATTGAGTAGACAAAGTTTGTCCTCAGTTCTCTTACCACTCCTTTACAGTCCAAGACCTTCCTCTACCCTGCCTTGTCTTAACCTGTCTGCTTCAAGTGCTGGCCTTTTCTTGACAATTCCCAGACTCTTGACATTACACCTTTCTCCCCTGGGGCCTCAATCAAAATTGATCTGTCCCAGGCCCCAGTGCTTCAGAACCTAGCTAGATGACTGGCTAATGTGTCATTTAATCTGGTTCCATGACTTGCCTGAGTTCCCTCAGCCATTCTTTCAGGCCTTCAGGGCCATGACAGTGCTGCCTCGGCATCTTGCCAAATAAGAACCACCTCACTCAAAAGCCAAAGCAGCTGCATGAGCCTGCTCTATCCCACCTGGCAGGAGGCCTCTCCTCCTGTCTGGCTCCCAAGCCCTGTTCTGCCAGTCCACAGGTGCCCCTCAGGAATGTCAGGATCCCTGTGAACCTCATGTAATGCTACTAGCCAGGTGGGGATTGAAATACTTCTGGCTACTGATTGCAGATGGAGAGCAGAGAGCATATGCTGTGCCAACAGGTTATTATTTGGAGTCAAGGCTGCTCTTGGGCTTAGCCTGAATAGTTCTGAACACATGGATTCCAGGGTAATCCTTGGGGGCCCTGCTCTCCAATTACAACAAATAGCTGTTTACTTTACATGGCCTTTGGAGACTACCTCCTCCCTCCAAGCAGAAATCTATAATATTTTATATCTTAACTCTGGCCTACTTTACCCTGCTGGAATGTTGACTGCTAAAGCACTTATGGAATGTTAAAGTTTCGATTTATTGAATATCCTGGCTGATTAACTCAAATGTGGAGGGAGGAGAGAATTAGCAAACTCAAACGCCACCTTTTTCTGTGCCAAAAACTAAACTGAGAAAGTGTGTGTTTGGAAGTTGGCAAGGGAGGCTACAGACAGCTTTGACCAGATATCATTTCCTTTACCGAAAATATATGGAATTGCCATAAAGTCAAAGAAGGAGGAAAGAGAAAAGGTGATGCAGAGGTGGTCTCAGGCAATATGGGTTTGTTAAAAAGGCAAAACCGAAAATGAAGCAGTCAGTTAAACAGCAGCAAAAACATCCCCTCCTCTGCCAGTTTTATTTCCTTTGGTTTCTTCTTAAATTTAACACCCTCAGTAGGCCTGGGAGATGAAAAGAAATCAAGATGTGCCTTTAGGTAGGTAATCAAAGACCACTTATCCCAAGAACCTATTACTGATTTATGTTGACCTTGTAGGTTATTGGGCTCAACTCAGGCACACAGTCAAACACTTTGGAGCAGCTGGGAGCTGTGCTCATTGTTCCTCCACTGGTGCTGCCGCCCCCATTTCTCCATTTCATGACTTTTCTCATATATATATATATGCATATATGATATATATCTCTATCTGTGTATCTTTTTCTTTTACATATGAATTATCCCATTATTCCTATTTGTGGGAATCTCTGAAGCCAGTGTGGGAGGTAGATTCCTTATGAAGAGGAACAAAAGAGGACAGCAAAATCAGAAGCGACAGAAGGGAAAGGAGCCAAGTTCACTCCTCTAACCCCACCTTATCACCCTTTTGAGGATCTGCTTCAAGTTTATGCAGACACCTGCACCCCTCCAATATCCCTCCCAACCTACTGTACTCCAGCTCTGTTTGAGTGCATTTTTCCAAGATGACATAGACCTCATTAGAGTTCCTGCCTGCTCCCAGCAAGGAAGACCAAACCTGGCCCTAAGTTGTTTGCTGGATTTGGCCTTAGCCAGAAACTGGCCTCCCTTTTACTGTGAACACCAGATGCAGCTCTAGGAAGGCGTGGAGAATAGGAGTATGGAGAGGTTTGGAGGGTGGAGATACGTGGGGGAAAAAAGGGAACTGTGTCATGTTTGATGGTATGCAGAACCTCTTACTGGTCTAGGAGTAAAAGGTGACCTTGAGGAGAGGTAGCTGTTAAAGCACCTGTGTGATGGCTTAATAGGGAATAGGAAATTGAAAGTAAAAATGGCAAATTATTGAGGAGGGAACACATTTGCTTGGGAACCTAATAATCTCTGTCCCATCAAGGCTTGTATTAATTGTGCACTTAGTTCTGTATGTGAGACAGGCAGCTGTGTCCTTTGAACAATCTGCATAGTGGTGGGCAGGGAGATTATAGTCCTGGATGGAAATTAGACATTTGCAGTCCTGGGCCTGGGGGACACTTGTTTTGGGGGCTAGGAATGGGCTCAGGATGGTTTCCTCATTGAGGCAAGAAGTCCAGAGGTCAGGACTTGTGTCCTTTCTTAAATGATGGACATCTCAAGGTTCCCTAGATTCCCTGATACCCCACTCATGTGCTGCCTGGATTGGCTCCCCGCCTAGGTAGAGCAACCTTGAGGCAGACAGATGCCCGGCCTCTGCCAGTTAAAAGTGGTTCGGACGCAGGCTGCCGGGCCACCACACCCAGGGCTCAAGCAGGCTCCTGCTCCAGGCTATCAGCCACAACAGGCCTGGTGCCCTTGAGGCTTGGCCCTCACAGCGGCCACGATCCCCGGTCTCCTAGGTGAGGGCTCCAACTCCTTCCTCTCCCAGCTTCACCTGCTTTGGTTGGAGGCTCAGTGCCCAGCTTCCAGAAGAGCTCCTGACTCCCGAGTGTGGGAGGATGGAGTGGGTAAATGAGAAGCCACAGCGCAAGGGGCCTCTATCCCCTCCCAAGAGTGGCGGAGGGCACGGGGCTCCGGGAAGCTCGCCGCTCTGGTACGCGCCGTCCCGTCCGCCTTGATCAGCCAAGACGGCTCCAAGGGGGAGGGGGTCCGCTGGGCCCCACGCTGGAACCCAGAGCCGTGGGCTCCCCTGCTACTTGTCCGCCCATCTCCCGACCCTCCCGCCGCCTCCTCCCCGC